ACGAAAAGATCGGTCGGCTTCAAAACATGTTTTGGGATTCCCTTTCACAACGTGTGTTCCATTATCCCTCGCCGCAACGGTTTTCTAGGAAAAGTGCAACAGATCGCGGCCAGACCATAGAGAGAGCTCCTGGCGAGCCGCGAGAGTTCCCACGGGAGCCCCGCGGAGAGCGATGCCGCTCGTGACCGGGGGGGAGGGGGGGGTCCACTCTGTCCGGCGCGCCCACTGTCACAATTCACCAAATGATATTTCTTGCCCGGCCCGCCCAATTCGTGCGCGCGGCCGGCGCTCCTCGGCCGCACCCGCGCGCCGCTGCTGCAGTTTGTCTTGGACGGGCGCGCCCAGCACGGCCCCGGCCCCGGCCCCCCTCGGGGCCCCCGGTCACGGCGACGCGGGCGGAACGATGGACGGCGCGGGGCCTGAACTCCGGGGCCGCCTCTCTCCCCTCCGGAGCCCTTAGGTGCGCGACCCGGACACAGCTAGGCCAAAGGGGCCTCATCCTTTGGCGGCTGAACCGCTGCCACTGCCGCCGAGGTAGCAGAAGCAGGAGGACGGCGATGGGCTCGAGTTGCTCAAGGCAACGGCCACACAATGGTGAGGGGGCGGCGGGCGGCCAACCCCTCCTGGGACGACTTTCTCACCACCACAGCGACGCTGCTGCTGAGTGGCACACACAGGACGGTAACTACGACACCTTTGGCCCCCTGCTTGTCTCTTCCACGTAATACCGCCTCACCATCCGAAAGTTTTCTCTCTCCGTCTGGGTGCGTGTCTCTCTCCTTCTCTCTTTCTCTCCCTCCTTCTCTCTCCTTCCCTCCCTCTCCTGTTCGGGATTTATGAATTCCTTTAAGAGCCCAATTTATCTCCCCGCTCGCGTCCCGCAGTCCCTGTGCGGGCCGCGAGCCCAACACTGGAAAAACAAAGGTAGGACTCAGCACCCCTCTTGGGGTGCTAATGACCTAAGTGCCTTTACAGAGCGGTACCAAAACCCGAGTACGCCACTAAAAAATCCCAATGTCGCTAAATTTTGGTTACTTTTTATGGACACATTAAAGGCACTAAAACTTAGCTATCCTCTAGAAAACGCCTGCTGCTACCGTAAACACCCGCGTACGTCTTACCCATACTCTTCTGGAAACGCAAGTACAAGAAAATCGTTCTTTGTCGGTGTGTAAAATTCCAGTGGCAC